TTTCCTCACAGATGCTCTTATTCGCAAGAGTGCAGCCGCAAGCATCAGCCAGCCCGTGTTTCCTTTGAAGGAGCGCATCGTTGAAGGCCTTGGACATGACCCCTTTGCCAAAACCATAGCGGAGTACATCGAGCAAGGTAAGACTCGACGGTTTTGGATGAAGGATGTGCTCATCATGACCAAGGGGGAGCGTGTGTTCGTGCCAAGGTGGGCCAACTTGAGGAAGGAGATCATGAAGGAGTGCCATGATTCCAAGTGGGCGGGCCACCCCGACATCGAAAGGACGCAAGCGCTCATCGAAGAAGCATACTTATGGCCGCGTATGAGAGACGACGTGGAGATGTATGTGAAGGCTTGTCTTGTGTGCCAACGAGACAAGATGGAGCAGAGAAGCCCGGCAGGCTTGCTAGAGCCCTTGCCCATGCCTCAACGACCATGGGAATGTGTAAGCATGGACTTCATCATCAGACTTCCCAAAGTTGACGGATGCGGTTGCATCATGGTTGTGGAGGACAGATTCTCGAAGTATAGAGTGTTCATTCCTGGGCCAAAAGATATGACGACAGAGGATGCGGCGCGGCTATTCTTCAAGAACGTGGTCAAGTATTGGGGCATTGCTAGCAACATCGTGAGCGTCAGAGATGCTCGCTTCACGGGCCGATTTTGGCTAGAGTTGTTCAAGATCATGGGCTCAGACTTGAACTTCTCAGGGGTGTTTCATCCACAAAGCGACGGACAGACAGAACGGGTGAATGCCTTGCTGGAGGTGTACTTGCAGCACTATGTGAGTGCAAACCAGCGAGATTGGGTGAAGTTGATAGAGACGGCATAGTTCTCCTACAACTTGCACCACAGTGAGTCGACCAACACGAGTCCATTTGAGTTTGCGACGGGGCATCAACCTTTGACACCTACGATGGTAGCAACGGGGTATAGAGGCAACAGTCCGACAGCCTACAAGTTTGCTGAAGGCTAGCACGAGAAGATGGAGATGACCAAGTCTAGTAAGAAGATGAAGGAATGGGCGGACAAGAAGAGGCGACACTTGGAGTTTGAAGAGGGAGGCATAGTCATGGTAAAGTTCTACCCTCGCCTCTTCAAGCATCTCAAGAACTTGCACAAAGGACTACTTCGCCGCTATGAAGGGCCATTACCGGTGATGAAGAGAATTGGCAAGGTGGCGTACAAAGTGGAGGTGTCGTCGCACTTAGAGATCCATCTGTTCTTTCATGTGAGCCAACTCAAGGCTTTCCACGAAGTCAAGGAGGATGAGCAGCGAAGAGAGTCACATCGCGCAACACTCATCACCAAGACACACGACCATGAATTCGAAGAGATCATGGCGCGTCGTGTCATTCCTCGTCGTGGCATACATCCAAACTTCGTGGAATACTTGGTCAAGTGGCACAACCTTCCGGAGAGTGAAGAAACTTGGGAGAAAGAGCTCACGCTTTGGAAGAACAAGGACTTGATTTAGACTTTCCATCAAGAGGAAGCGACGAGGATGTCGCGAGCATAGGTGGGGGAGGATGTCACATGTGGCAGATGACATGGCGCCAACAAGGTGACAACATGGCGGCTACACATGTGGCGTGTATGAAAGACTAGTAGCATAGAGATGCTCTTAGGATTCTCCACCTAAATGAGAGCTTAATGGTGCACTTATGAGTCACATAATGGGTGACATTTATAGAGTGCATTATGGGGGGGGGGGGGACTTTATGGGTGTATTGATGTGGGGTAGTGATGAGGGGCATTGATGCCTTGTATGTGGAGTAATACATTCCATCAATTTTTAGAGTAATACACACTAGAGAGTTCTCCCATCTCCTTTGTCTTTGTTCTTGCTTCTTTGCTTGTTTGTGAGTTTGAGAGAAGGCTGTCTACCGCTCTGACGGAAATGAGAGCTAGGGCCGCACGATCGAGTGTAAGGTTGTGACACACCCCCTTGGATTTGGATTTGGAGGAGAACACAATAATTAGTAATATTAGCATGTTACCAATGCGATTTAAACTTTAAATTTCAATATCAATTGGCAAATCTTCTATTGTCAAACTACAACAAATTATATAAATTAATTTTATCTAGTAATTTCTACATTAATACATTTGAGTTTATTAAGATAGATAAGAGGTTAGGATTCTTAGAGGAAATCATTAAATATTTTTATAATAGTGACGGTCAAAAGCCAAAATGAGTTGTCATCAATGTATTTGCTTGTGAAAATATATTTGATTTGCAACTACAAGATGTCAATACACAAGTTGATAACATTTTATACAATGATGATTCATGAAAGAAGGAATTTATGGAAAGAGGAAAGATATGTGGTGGTTAGATGTGCTGCCGGGGAAAGACGGCGAAGAAGAAGAAGAGATTAACGTGAGCGATCAAGAATGGCAGTCGCAGGCAGAGTCAGAGTCCGAAACAACGCCATCGTCTATGTAGGAGGACGGAGGTTCTGGGCAGGTAGTAGAGCCTGAGTTTTTTAGTGAACTAAAGGTATTTGGTTTGTGAAGGGGATTCGGTTGTAAAGGCATTTTTTGAGTACCTGCCTCTTGGAAGGTCTCTTGCAAGGTTTGCCGTGAGGGTCTGAGGGACATGAGGCAGTCTGTTGTCGTTGGTGTGATCAAGGTTGTGGAGAAGAACTTCCCACCTGGCGCCAAGGTCACCAAGGTTGTTGCTAAAAAGAATGATTCATCAATGAACAAACAGTATAATGTAGTCTTAGTTGAATCTTATAGGTGGTCGATGACAAATGTGCTCCTCAATTCAAGCACTAATGGGTTTCTGCTTTGTTAGGTTGATTTCAAAGCATTCAAGCCTGATCTGTGTGAAGAGAGAGTCTAGAGAAGATGAGTTCAAGCATCACAGAAGCTTTGGTCCAACAATGGAAGTGGCTAGTCCACATAGCATAAAACGATCGTTCATTTGAGAAGCAATTATGAGGTATGTTGAATCTTAATCTAGGATCAACTTGACTGATCAGCTTCAGAAAATTCTTGCATACGAAATTAGGACCCCAATTGCTTCTCTCTAGTTACAAGCTTCCAGCTATAGATCGAGAAGTGTTTATATTTAACAAAGCTAGGCTTTTGATGAGGTCCAAGGGTAACAAAGCTAGGTTGCTCTCTAGTGAACTGAAGCTTGTTTCATTAGGCTTTAGTTCAGAGGAGGATGAACTGAAGGATGACAGGAATCAGCTGTGAAGTTTATGTCTGGGGGTTGGGGTTTAGAGGCACGGTTCTAGCTGAAGTAAGCAAGCTTTATCAAATGGAAGAGAAGAGGCTAGCTTCTCAAGATGGTGTCGTAGTTCATGGAATGGTAGTGGCAGAAATGAATGATCAAGTGACTAGGGAAGAAGTTGCAACCAAGTTGTGAATGGGAACTCACTGATAAACACGTACAAACTAAGAGGCTACTGTAACAAGGAGAAAGAGAATTCTGCAGGAGCAGCAGTGTTATCCAAGAACAAATTGAATGAGGAAGAAGTTGCTAGTGATGATTGGTGACAAAGACAAATTTTTGACTGCTCTAATGTTATCATTATCAGAATAAAGACAAGAAGAGGGGAATGGTGGAAAGAAATTATCAAGTGACCAGGGGAGCAGCTGTAGAGAAGGTGCTGAAAACTCTGGACCCGAATCAGAAGAAAAAGAGAAGGAAGAACTAAAACTAAGCCAGTGATGGAAAGGAGGTTCGTGCTTCTCGGTCCACAGAGACAAAATGTAGGACTGGTGAATTCTACAGCAGCAACTAAAAAAGGAAGAATGGGATGATGAGTTCACAAGGGAGTCAACAAAGGAGGCAATGAGAATGGGCAGCACCTTTGCAGGATGGTTAGTGTGTTTTCTTTATATGTTTTTAAAGTATATTAGAAGGTTGTGAGTGGGATTGTAGCATTAGTTCAACTATATACTTTCAGAAAAGTAGATGGTGAGGAATGATTATTGGATTAAGGGAATTCATGGTTTTGCTAGGATGATCGGGGAACTGTTTAAGGAAATGTCAGCTGGACATACCTACGATTGAAGTAGGTGGTGCAACCTGTGAGTGAAGCAGGTTTGGTTTCAATATCATTCGACGAGTAGGCAGCAGAGTGGTTGGTCCTTATTCAGTGGGCGAATAGCTGGTTTAGAAGTAATCGGTTGCTATGTCATGTAACAAGTAACAATTTGAGAGCTTGCAAATAACACTTTGAGTTGCAGTTCTCGCTTGTTGGAGGATGACATAGAAGGAGAGACCTTGGAGAATAGGTCTAGAGAGTAAAATGAAGAAACCGGAAATGAAAACAATTGAGCATGCCTTGCGAGGAAGAAGATAAAAGAAAGTGAAGTTGAACTTAAAGCCAATCTCATAAAAGAAAAGCATCAAAAATATATGGGTTGATTGATAGTGTTGCAGCAAACTCTTAAGTTGCTGGAAATTCTGAAGTTGCAATTCTAGATGATTAAGGAGTGAAGTTATTGTTGTGGCAAAATGATCTCGTGATGCTTTAAACTCAAACTTAACCGGTTTGAGTTTAGGGGAGGATATGTTGGATAAAGAGTTGGGTCGAGACAGTGGCTTTGAGCTGGGCCTTCTGTCTTATGAAGTTCAGTCAATAAGAAGCCCAATTAGTAGAATCCAGAATGTGAGATAGTGGTATGTTAGAAGTGCTAAGTAGTTGCTAGTCTGAAGAGCTGTAGTTGTTAACAATTCCTGGTTCTATGTTAGACAAGCTGAACAATAGGTAGAGAGTGTTGGCTGGTTTTAGCGGCTATTAGTTGAGCTTGATATATTTAATCGTTGCTTTGTTATGTGAATACTAATTTGAGAGGTAAATTGCAGTTTGGTCACTTGAATTACTTAAAAAGTTCACTTTTTTCACTAAGGTTAATTTATTCCATCCGTAGTCACTTAAATTAGTTCAACAATTCAAGTTTGGTCACTCTCCGTTAACTTTATCTAACGTGGTTGTCAACTCTGAGAGTTGAGCGTTAAATAAATGACGTGGCAATTAAAAAATAAAAATTTATATCTTTAAAGAATTCCACGCCATTAGTACAATAAATTAAAAAATAATAAAATAAAGTAGTTGATTATTTTATAATTAGAAGTTACCAAATGGGAGATGAATTGGAATGAGAAACGGAAATTCTCTCAATCCAAACAAAACCGGAGCACGCTAATTTCATCCACCACGTTCGTCCAAGCCGACGCGGCCACGTTCCGGGACCTCGTCCAGAAGCTCAGCGGACTATCTCATGATTTCGAGATCAGGCTTGCAGTCACTCTTCCTTCCAGAATCCAAACTTCTTGCCGCCTCCTAGCTAGATAAAATCTCCCCCCCCCCCCCCCCAACCCAATTTCAGGTCCCTCCGGAGTAGGTCCTATATAGCGGCACCTTGTTCAATGACGGCGGAGGTCGGAGCTGCAAGTAATGGTGAGGGATCATTCCCCAAATCAGGTGGAAAGAAGGCAGGGAAGAGATTGGGGGAATGAAGAACAGGGCAGCTCCACAGCTGCGTCTGCCTTTGATTTTGAGAGCATCAATCTGGCCATGAGATTGTCTTGCGATTTCTCGGCAGATGCGACGGCAGGGGATCTGGAGGGGGAGGCAGAAATTGATTTGAGGGTGTCGAATCGGCGGTGGAGGAGCTGGCGGAGGTGGAGGCGGTAACTGCTTTTAGAGCGTCGAATCGACGGCGGAGACTAGAATCCAGGGAATCACCGCCGTTAGGGATCTTGGAGATGTGGAAATTCACGAACTTGTAATCTTTGGACCCTGAATCGTACCTGAATCCATATATGCACTCCATGAACAAGGTCGAGCCATGACCTACCCTGCAGGGATGTTTGGAGGTGGAAAGAGCAAGTTTCGACATCCCTGCACTTCCTTATAATTCCCTCCATCGCTATCCCCAACCACCACCTCATCGTCCCAGCCACCGTCGTTGATCTCCATGAAATCCTCCTTTTCGAAAAACAGCCTCCATCTCTTCCCGCTCATCAGGCTGCCCGCCTCAACCCCACTCTTCTCGAAGTACTCGACCCCGCTCTCAGTATCACTAAGAACTCCTCTGATACGAGCTGAAATTGAATGAATGTATGTTTCCTCTTTCTTGTCGGGAGTAAGCCAGACTCTCTTTTCTTGGCGAGATAACCAGTGTTTATTCTGAAAAAATAGCTTGCCTCATATTTCCTTTTTGCTGCAGTTAAATACAAAAGAGCTTGAATTTGAAATGACCTGACTATGTGGAACTACCTCCCACGTCCTACACTACTGCTACTGACCTTCCTCCACTTAAGGTGGAGAGGATATTATTGACTCAACCACTTTCAACTACTGCTGCTAACTACAAGGAACGACTCATTCAAGATGCTAACAATAATAAGAGAACTACTCCTACAACGGCAAGCTAGACTTGTTGCTGGGTTGGGCTATGCGTAGTCTTAATAGCGAGAGTTGGGTTGTCTTGCGCGAGCTGAACGATGACGTATAAGCTCATCATCCTCCAACTCTTCCTTCTTTGCCGCAACTCGAGTCGGCCTCGTCTCCTCTCCCTCCTTCTCCGACGTTGGTGCTCGGCCCTCCGCCCGCCGTCGTTTGTAGATTGGCTTATCTACGATGGTTGTTGCCTCCATTATTCATTTTTTTGGAAGGGAGGCAAACAAATATGGGAAGCTTCGTAACAATGGTGGGGTGAGGGTTTGGAGGAGGATTTATGGTGATATTTGACCGCTTGATTTGGATCGAGTAGATATAGGCAGAATCGTCGTCGGTGAATAGAAAGATATCATCGGCGTTGCGGGTAACAGCGGAGGAGTCACGGTATGTTATAGGAATAAATTTTCGTTTTATTTATTTTCTAATTTATTGTGATAATGAGGTGGAATTTTTAAAATATTAAATTGTAATTTTTTATATATTTTTTAATTGCCATGTCACTTATTTAACGTTCAACTCTCATAGTTGACTGTCACGTCAGATAAAGTTAACAGAAACTAACGAAGAGTGACCAAATTTGAACTGTTGAACTAATTTAAGTGATTACGGATGAAATAAATTAATTTCAGTGGCAAACGTGAGCTTTATAAGTAATTCAAGTGACCAAACTTGCAATTTAGCCCTAATTCGAGTTTTGCCCATTTTTTATCTACATTCATTGCATGAACAGTATTGGACTGTCCTTTTCCAGACCCCCTAAAATCGGGGTCTCATTGCATCAGAAAGTACATTGTATGGGTCAATCTGTAGCTCAACATTTTCAGTCTTATGGATGCTCATTTTAGCCGTAGGGGTGAACAAACATACCCGCAAACCGACCCACCCGTCCAATCCGACCCGACCCACCCGTATTTATCGCTAAAACGAAGGTTTGGGTTGAGTGAGAGTTTTCTTTTGTACAACCCGCCTCTTTTGGGTTGGGTTTGGATTTTGGATTACACAATCCGTAGAACCCAACCCGTGTTCCAACTATTGGTATGAGTTCGTATCCATAAAATATTTATGTCGTATATAGTCATACTTATGAGAAAATTAATATATTTCGCCATGTTTTTCTCTCATGGTCTCCCTAATCTAAGACATTCTTCGGTTTAAAGTTTAGACATAAATTTAATATAGTTATGATTCACGTAATCCTTTTTCCTGTATATAATTTTAATAGATAACATATTATGGATGCATTCGTTTATAACCTCTTTAGCCTATTTCAACAAATGTCTTGAAAAAAACTACACATATGTTGTAGTAAATCACATTTTATTAAAATTCAAACAGAATTTATGAATTTTGATACCTTTCATTTCATCTAGGTTTATTTGTTTGAAATTTTAGTTAGTTATAAAATATTTTTATGGTGTAGAATAATTACATATTTTGTGTTGGGTTGGGTTTTTACTTAAAAATATCGTCAACCCGACCCAACCCAATTAGAAACAAACTGTAGGTTTTAAATTTTTTTGGGTGGGTTTGGATTTAATATTTTCCAAACCATAGTATATTAGTCGGGTGATTAAAATGGTTAAACCCGGACCACCCGACCCATGTAAACCGATACGTTTGTGGACTACGTGATGTTACTGAGCCAAGCCCGTCTTTCCACACCAGTAAGCCGAGTCTGTGATTTTGGGCTTATTCATCGTCAGCAATGTGTGGAAACGGTGATTTCGAGCCTGGGGATGCTCAACCGTGGCCTACTTCAAAAGGATTCGAGGCTTTGAATAATGTCTACGAAGATAAGCCAACAGCCCAACATGCTGGACTACACATCCACCAATCATTTTCTATATACTAAGAAATTCATTACATTTTTTATGGGGAATCTGTACGAAATTCATTACATGAGTGTTGCGATGCGATACATAAAGTATACATGATGATGAGAAGTTACCATTTCTACGGAGAATGTTATCTGAATATAAATGATGAACCGTCACGATTTTTACGGTGAATGTTAGCAAACGTTATATAAAATATTGGAGTCTAATAGCATCTACATTAAAATTGCATTTGACAATTGTATCTTTGTAAATTTGCATATAATGCAATTATGAATTGCAAGCCACATCATTTTTTTTATTATTAAATTATTTCTTATTTTTTGTTTTTCAAGTGTTTGTGTTTTTTAAATAAATTAAAATTGTAAATTAATTGCATTGATGTGCGGGAATAAAAGTAATATTAATTGGATTGAAAAAAAAAGATGACGGTAAAATAGACGGATGCAATTGCGTGTACGAATACATCGATATGGATGCTCTAGTGAATTAGTTGAAGGTTATATATGGTACACCGGTTAGTTAGATTAATCCTAATTATTCTATCACTTTTATAAATGATTCCTTATTCTCTCACCTTACCTCATTCTCTAAAGTAATTGATCATTACCGTTAATAAATAAAAAATTATAAATGGATGCAAAGCCGTTAATCAATTTTTTTAACTTTGCACTAGAAAATATATACATGTTATTTAACACCCGCTTTGTTGGTTGGAGATGTAACAGGTTTGTCCATTTGGTGGCAAGAAAATTCTTTTAAATGTTTCCTTTATCATGATTCAAAATTCGATTAATTCAAAATTCGATTAATTCAAAATTTGTATACTTTTTGACTTTTTCTTATCAAAGAGATGACGATACTCTAATTTAACCCCGGATAGAATGCACCCTGGGGCGTAGCCAGGATTTCAGTTAAGGTGGGTTCGAAATTAAAACATATTAAAATATATTTAATTAATGTTTACAATAATCCACGACGTGTCTGGTAGTTATTGTGAACGTCAGGCTAGCTAGGAATTTGACAAATTAATATCCAACACGAGTTACTATGTTTGTTGGAATACAATCCTAACATGGCTTGGCGTTGCATTCAGGTGTGGCGGTGGCGGGCCCGATTACGCCGACTGGCCAGTAGCCAACGTTGAACAATTCCCCAAACATCCCACTGAAAACAGTAATCTCCCAACCACGTCCTTTGCATAATTAATTATCGTTAGCATTAGTTTATTACGTCCTTATCTCTAATCCACCGCCCTCAGTTCGGCTGCTTTTATTTTTTGAGTTGATCAGTTAGTCTCCAATTATCAATCAACCTAGCTATTGCTATAGCCTATAGGTAATGGAAATTATTGATGCTAGTTCCCTTTTGACTCCCTCAGTGGCAGAAGGTAGGGATGGCAATTTAAACTCATCTTGCTGGATATTATCCGAATTGGAGTAGTGTGAGTGGGGACAAGAGTATCTACTTCCAACCCGTCATGTCTCATCTCGTCCACTTCTTCTAACAATATTTATTCATATTCCTCCTATTTTGATTTTTCTTCAACTAGTTAGACTTGATCTTTTAACTAGTTAAACTCAATTACCCAATTTATTATCGCTATTTTTCATTCATAAAATGTTTTCCCTTTCATTTTATCGTAGAAAGTAATATTTTGCGTCTATTTTATTTAAATAACATATAATGATGGGTCGACCCACCCCACCCTGTACCCACGTGAGTATTACCCACCCAAACTCGCAATAACATCAAGCGAGACATGAATATTAAGGTACCTGCCCCGTCCCGTCCCATTACCATCACTAGCAGCAAGTGGGCCTCTCTCACTCTCCACAATCCCGCAAAAGTCGTTAGTCGTTTTTGTTCGTTTGTTTTCTCGTCTTCTCCTAAACCAATAATCAAATTTCTATACTAAAAACCTATTCAGAAAATTGGTAGCCACTAACTGTACAAGATATCAGATGGAAAATGAGCATCCTCATCTTTATCATTAATCAAGAGTTAAACGCGATAGCTAGTAACAATCCGTCTAACTTCTAACAACTTCTACAAAAGCCAGGTAGGCTAAGAGTCCACTCTAGAAATATGTAAGGGTCAAATTTTTTATTTATAGTATAGGCGAGCACCTCACAAATTGATTTGCAATGTTGAGTACAGTATGAATATTATTATTAGGAAATTGATAAGCTCATATGTGTAGCATTACGAGAGTATGGACCGGTATGAGTTATATAGTATGTAGCTTGTCAAAAATTATATTTTTGCTATATTTTTAATGTTATTAATCCTTGTCTTAAAAGTCGAGTGTTTTCCGTCGAACTTATTTTGAAAGTCAATGCGTGGAAACTTATATTAACCCTTTAAAATTTCAATGATAAGACTTGTCTAAAAATATTTAATCCTGATTTAGTGACAAACACATTGACATATCATGTAATTTTTAGTTGATGGGTGAAGATCGCGAAATTATACTCATCAATGATTTAAGGTGTGTGTCATCTTGTACTTGAATATTTTTTTCTCAATCGTAAACAAAAGTGAAATATGTGTATATTATAATACAAACCTATTTGCTTGACCTAATTTTTGTATCAGAGTAATGGTAATGTATGCAAGATTTCCCCCCAAATATGTGTGGATTTTGATTAATATTTTTTTTATGAGCATGATTAATATTATTATACTGTAACTTGGAAGAAATGTAAATGATGAGTGATGACCATGGTGTTAGTTGTAATCCACATTGATTAATTAATTCGTAGAGGACTATATAACTAACCGGTTGGATAAGGATGCAGTAAAACAGGGAAAATGACTTTTTAAATCTAAACACTTGTTAGGTAGCTCGACTTTTAATATTTGAAAGAGATTATAATGTTCATAGTCCATTTACGAGAATTATATTATAAAACGCGAATGCGAAATCTTCGTGTATGATTTGATCCCCCAACAAGCTTATTATATCATTGTCACGATGAATGATAAGCATTTTAGTGAAAACTATAATCTTCCTATCAACCAATCTTCTATTTGATAACAATTAATTTCCCGAATCTTTCATGGCGTATAAGAAACTGTTTGGATACATATTTATCTGTCTAGTCTAGAGAGCTAGCTGGTCAATTCATAAGTTTGGCTCTTTTCTTCCCTTCCCAACTGTTCCGCACTTGGTTGCTAATTTAGATTAAAAGACCTTACCACGAGAACCACGACACAAACTGCTCAATGCCTTTTTTTTTTTGTTTATATAATCTTCATTTATTGCTAGTTTGTCCCGTCCCATATTATATATTGTTAATTTATATTAATAACTAGTTTTCAATATTGGTGGAGATGGAACTAGCAATAATTGAGCTCAAGATAGGGTGAATAACCATTGGTTATGCACCCATCAATAACTAAATCTGGACTCTTCATTTAGAAAATCTAGATGTAAGGATGGAGAATTAAAAATCATTTTTATTTTCCCTGAGTTTCTTAATCAACTCATATCTTCTTCGTTTTAACTCAGATTTTAAATTTTTTTTTTTTGCATAGATTGAACGAGTTCGTTGTGCTCTACAAAATGAGATCAATTTTCAATATTTTTTGAGAAAAAAAAATTCTTGC